ATCCGTTCTCAGCTCACTGCAGTCCCAGATGTACATTGCCGACGCTTCCGGCAGTTCCGCTACCGTGAGGCCGATGGGCCCCGAGAGGTCTGCAGCCAGCTCCACGGACTTTGCAGCCACTGGCTGGAGCCAGAGAGGCACACCAAGAAGCAGATCCTGGACCTGGTGATCCTGGAGCAGTTCCTGACTCTCCTGCCCCAGGAAATGCAGGGCTGGGTCAGAGGGTGTGGGCCGGAGACCAGTTCCCAGGCGGTGGCCCTGGCCGAGGGATTCCTCCTGAGTCAGGCAGAGGAGAAGAGGCAGGCAGAACAGGTGAGGGGATTCCCTCCAAGTCTATCCGATTCAAACTGATATCTGGCCTTATCCAAAGACTTTCTTATCCCTCCCGGTCTGCTGCTGGAAGGGTGCAGAGTCTGGGAGTGGGGCAGGATCCATTCCTTGGTCTTTTTTCCATTCCGTCTCTTACTCTTTTCCCTCACTGCTGTTTCAGATGTGGGGACCCTCCCTGAAGACAGGAGCGACATCCCCCGTGGCGGAAGGAGCTTCCGTGGAGCAAGGGCAGAGGGCGCAGGCCATGGAGCGTGCCCAAGATGCCCTCTCCAGGGGTAAGGAGGACTCATTGTGCCAGGGTGTGGTTGGGGCACAGTGTGAATTTGATGGGGAGAGAGTTTTTTTCGGTAGGTAGAAGTTTATTGTATAAAGCCAATGGCCATTACAAATTACAGAATACAGCGACGCAGTGATACAGAATTAAAAACCACTATTATAATCTGGGTTAAAATTGACTACAAATCAATAATAAAAGGATTATCATGCCAGGGTGCAATTGGGACACACTGTGGATTTGATGGGTAGAGAGTTCAGAAATACTTGTTGTCACAACAGAGAGAGTTAATTTGCGGCACTCCATGTCCACTACCTGTGATGCCTCCAAAAGGAGATGAGAACAATTCTTGGGTGGCAATTCCTCCCATTAATGTAAACATTCATATCTCACCTTCCTTCCATAAGAGGAACTCAGGGTGGCTCACAAGAGAAAAGGGAAACAAACCTCGGCAGAGCTATTCAACCTGGGAAATGATGGGAGCCTCCACCTTCTGGGGCAGCAGAGCGCTGAAAATTTGGCTTCTGTGCCTGATCTTATAAGGACATCTGGCGGGCTCCTGTGGGAACTGGGATGCTGGAGTTGGGATGGCAGGTGATGGCCTGGCCCTCGGGAGGGGTTTGGGCAGATGTCGTGTTAGGTTAGTGTTTTCTCTGGCTGGAAACCTGCTTGTGGTGTTTGCATGCCAAGACACATTCTGAAACCTGTTACCCTCCATTCTACAGATGTGCTGAAGTCACGTCTGGGCCGAAGGTCACGGTGACACGTGTGAAGAAACGCATTTTTTTGCTATTGAGGTTTTAAATGAGCAGAACCTTCATGCTGCGGTGGAAAAGGTTTTCTTCCCTCTCTGGGCAGAGAACAGGCAGGCAGGAAGGGGGGAAGGCAGCCCAATGACTTTCCAAGTTACCTTCATACAAATGCTAAGAATCTAGCTGGAGAGATAATGGGTGGGTCAGATTCCCCTCCCTTCTTCAAGCAGGGAACAGGGTGTTGGAGGTGTGAAATGCTAGAGGGACTTCAGGAAGGGGATTCCTGGAGATCTCCAGGAAACGCCTCTTTGACCTGGCCTGGGCAAGTCAGTGGGAGGGGAAACAGAGATGATAAAAACTCGTTGCTGCAGAAAGGAGGTCTCTTTCTCTTGGGTACAGAGTCCATGAGTGCACACAGACCTCTCCTTGGGGAAGGCAGCCATTGGCCATGTACTTGCCTAAATAACTGGAGCTAACTTCAAGGTAATGGGTACTCTGTAGCGACCTTGACCTACAGAGCTAAGGAGCCTGTCCTATTTTAACATCTGGTAGAGCATGTACAGAGAAAGGGACAGAGAGTTTGCATTTTCCATTTTTCTTTTTATTCCCTTGCTTAGTTTGCTGCTGTGCTAAAAGTATACTTGTGGTCATTTTATTTTTAAGAAATACTCTATAACTTTTGATGCTGGCTGTGCTTCCCTGTACCACATAAGAGTTCCACCGTCTCAGACACGCTTTTTGACACGGAGCCCCAGGAGAGGGAAGGCAGGAAGTTGGCAAGGGGCTCTTCCTCCAGGGGGGTGCACGGCAGGAAACTGTCCCCAGATGCTGGGCAGCGGGAGACACAGAGGCCAGGCCTCAGAGCTTCGAAAGGAAGTGGGGAGTCCTGACCCTCCCAGTGGGTGATTCCTTACAGAGGACAGGTGGAGGTTGTGGGTTCACGGAGAGAGAGAGAAAAGCCTCTCCAGGGAGGTGGGAAGCATTGAATAGGCCCTGGAGGCCAGAGCAGAATTTGTGTGTTTGTTTATTCAACTTATATCCCGCTCCTTTCCCCGCAAGCAGGGCTCAAGGTGGCTTCCAACAACTGAGTGTGCTGCCAGGGAAAAAGTTCCAGACTCCTGGGGAAGGGGTGTGTGTGTGAAGCAGGAAAGAGACAAGCAAACCCCCTTCCTTCCTCCTTTCTCTCTTGAACAGGCAGGGAAGAGATGCTGTGGAGCCGCCGTCTCTTTAGAGGTGTGAAAACAGCTGCTGCCCCTCCAGCCCAGGTAGGAGAGGTGAGCGGGGGGGGGCAGCCTGGGTCCCTCCTCCTTTCTCAGGGGGGCTTTTGCTCCTGCAGTTCCTACAAGGTGTCCGGGCGAGAGACCCTCTGAATGCCATTCCCTTTCTCCCTACCATCCCTTCCCAGACAACTCCCTTTCTGTGTGCCCTCTCTGCCTGGCGTGATCTCTGACAAGGGAATCCTCTTTTTCCTTCAGGGTCCCTTTTCCTTTGAGGAGGTGTCCGTCTCTTTCACGGAGGCAGAATGGGCCCTGCTGGATCCGGGACAAAGAGCTCTGCACAGGGAAGTCATGCTGGAGAACTATGGGAACGTGGCCTTTCTGGGTAAGGGTCTTTCCTGGGTGCCAAAGGTGCAAATTGCTGCCTTTGGAGAGCCACTGCCTGCCGGACTGAGCGGGCAAGACTGACTTCAGTGGACCAAGAGTCTGATTCAGTATAAGGCAGCTTCCTGTGCTGCTCATGTGTGTGTTCTTGCCCAGGGGCAACTGAGACCAGTGTTGTGTCCATCACCCATGCCAGAGAAGGTGTCTCCTGGCCTGAGGCAAAAGGGGGGGGGGAATGAGAGGCCCTCAGAGAGACTCTGGAAGGGGCCAGATCCTCATTTCTCTGTGGCCAGCCTTTACAACACACCCTTCTCCCTGGGTGGGGTTCCAAACACCCGCTATGCCTCTGATCTGGAAATGATTGTGTGAGGAACCGCAGCCTGGGTCTCCCTGGGCCGCCACTCCTTGTACCTGAGCAGCACCCAGTTCAGTGGGTCCACGAGGAGGGTGCACACAAGTAAAGCAGACCCCTTTTAAAAATATATAAAGGTTTAAACATTTAAAAAGTAAGACATCTCCGAACTGCATAGTTTCTGCAACTTAGCAGCAGAAAAACAAGAAAAGCCAACTGTTCTATCTAATACATGAAATACTTGAAGGTGGGCGGCCGTGTTTGTCTCTCCGCAGCAGTAGAAAAGAGCCAGAGTCCAGGAGTACCTTCAAGACGAAGAAAACGTGTAGCGGGGGAGGAGCTTTCGTGAGTCACGGCTCATTTCTTCAGATAGTTCTTCAACTTACATCCCGCTCCTTCCCTTGCAAGCAGGGCTCAGGGCAGCTTCCAGCGATATCTGAAGAAGTGAGCACTGACTCATGAAAGCTCCTGCTCTGCCACATATTTCCTTACTCCTTAAGGGGCTTCTGAAACACTTGGTATAAGATGGCATCTCTTGTTGCAGTGGAAGGATTCCAGCTGTAGCCTAAGTTACTCCACCTAAAACTATTAATCGTGATGAAGTGGGAAACTATCCAGGCGTACTAGGAAGGCATGAGCATAAAGTCAGCATGGCTTCCCTCTGCCATATACCTATATTATACTTTCTGCCCCTCTAGGGTCAGGTGGTCCTAACGACCCAATCAAGTGCCCTTCCTGACAGAATCTTCCAGAGGCATTCAGCATCCTCCCAATCCGCTCTCTCTCTTGGTTACACAACTGGATACTGGTTCTCATGCTTAACCAATGACCACATTCTGGAGTCAGGAAGTTAGCTGCAGGGGGACTCAAATCACAAGCACCTGCAAGGCAGACCAGTCCACTTAAGCATCATGAGAACCCTTGGGGGAACAAGGGTGCTTTTCCACACAGATCCAACGCCCTTAAACTGGTGGGGATTGTGGGCTTTGATCTTGACCGTGGTTGCATCCTTCCAGAAGAATTTGTACTCTTGAATTTCTTTCCTTCCCTACATAAGAATGATCACTTTCTCCCTCTTTCTGTCTATGGAAGAAGCTAGAAGAATAAGGGAGACTGTGGTGGAGACAGTCAATGGCCTCACATCCAAAGAAAGGCTGGAGAGTTCCTCAACAGGATCTCAAGATCATATCTCCTTCCCAGATGAGCTGCCTGAGAGTGAGTATCCTTCACGGTTACGTCAAAGGAACAGGCAAGGAATAGCAATGGGGGATTTCTGATTCACTTCTGAGCAGCATTTGGTTTGGGACAGTCATATAGCCTGCTGGGTAAAGGGGGAGGGAGGCCTTCTGGGCCCCCGAAATCTGGAGGCTCAGAAACTCCTTCTGGGCAAGAGCTCAGCTGCGGCTCTTGAGGGAGTGAGGTATCCTTAAATACTAGATATTCTGGGGAATGGTGGAGGGTGGTGGTTAAGATCACACATGCAAAAGGGCTGTCAGTCCTTTCCTACTGCCTTCGGACCTTACCAGCCTTCCCAGGTGCTAACAGGATCTCTGTTTATTCCAGCAGAGGATGATCAGAGGGATGAGGAGGGTGAGGAACTTCATCAGCAAAGGGCAGATAGAGTTAAAAATGAAGATGTGAAAGAAACCATCAGGAATCGAGGCAAACCAAAGAAAAAGAAAGGAAGCCGTATGGTTGAGAAGCAAGATGGAACAAACGGTCATGTACATTCTCCAGAGCAGAGGATAATGAAGGCAAGTAAATCCACTCAGTGTGGAAAGGACTTCAGAAATAGATCACATCTCCTTGTGCACCAAAAAATACAAAGGGGGGATAAAAATTTTGAATGCTCAGAGTGTGGAAAGAGATTCAGTCAGAGAGCCAGTCTTCAACTGCATCACAGAACCCACACAGGGGAGAAACCCTTTGAATGCTCAGAGTGTGGAAAGAGATTCAGTCAGAGAGCCAGTCTTCAACTGCATCACAGAACCCACACAGGGGAGAAACCCTTTGAATGCTCAGAGTGTGGAAAGAGATTCAGTCAGAGAGCCAGTCTTCAACTGCATCACAGAACCCACACAGGGGAGAAACCCTTTGAATGCTCAGAGTGTGGAAAGAGATTCAGTCAGAGAGCCAGTCTTCAACTGCATCACAGAACCCACACAGGGGAGAAACCCTTTGAATGCTCAGAGTGTGGAAAGAGATTCAGTCAGAGAGCCAGTCTTCAACTGCATCACAGAACCCACACAGGGGAGAAACCCTTTGAATGCTCAGAGTGTGGAAAGAGATTCAGTCAGAGAGCCAGTCTTCAACTGCATCACAGAACCCACACAGGGGAGAAACCCTTTGAATGCTCAGAGTGTGGAAAGAGATTCAGTCAGAGAGCCAGTCTTCAACTGCATCACAGAACCCACACAGGGGAGAAACCCTTTGAATGCTCAGAATGTGGAAAGAGATTCAGTCAGCGTGCCAGTCTTCGACAGCATGAGAGAACCCACACAGGGGAGAAACCTTTTGAATGCTCAGTGTGTTTAAAGAGATTCATTCACAGTGGCAATCTTCAACACCACCAAAGAATGCATACTGGGGAGAAACCCTTTGAATGCTCAGAGTGTGGAAAGAGATTCAGTCAGAGTGGCCTTCTTCAACAGCATCAGAGAACCCACACAGGGGAGAAACCTTTTGAATGCTCAGTGTGTGGAAAGAAAACTAGTACTAGTAGCAGTCTTCGACAGCATGAGAGAACCCACACAGGGGAGAAACCTTTTGAATGCTTTGAGTGTGGAAAGAGATTCAGTCGGAATGGCACTCTTCAACACCACCAAAGAACCCACACAGGGGAGAAACCCTTTGAATGCTCTGTGTGTGGAAAGAGATTCAGTCGGAGTGGCCATCTTCAACGACATCAGATAACTCACACAGGGGAAGAACTTTTTGAATGCTTAGACTGCGGAAAGAGATTCAATCATAGCGGCCATCTTCGGCTTCACCAAAGAACCCACACAGGGGAAAAAGCTTTTGAATGCTCAGAGGGTGCAAAGAGATCCAGTAAGAGTGGTAGTCTTTTACTGCATCAAACAACCCACAGAGAGGAAAAGCTTTTATAAGCGCTGAGTGTGGAAAGAGATTCAGTTTGATTTCTTATCTTCAACAGGATCTAAGAACTCACATGGAAGAAACATTTTGAGTGCTCAAAGTGTGGATAGGAGGGCCTTTTTGGTGGTTGCTCTCCCCTGTGAAACTTGCTACTTCAGATTGTCTGCCAATCTTTTTTCACATCTACAAAACTAGCAAAAACACTTCCTTTCCCAAATCCTGTGAGGAAATAGACAAGTTGAGACTAACAGATATCTACAGTGTCTCGGCTACTGTCATAAACATAGTGTGACCAGCCACCATTCTTCTTTTGCAAACATTTTTATCTGACAACTAGTTCTAGAGAGGCATTACCCAACCCTAATCCCTTTCCAGTCCAACCTGCTTTTTTGGGGTCTCACCACCTGGAAGAAGAAGAAGAGATTGGATTTATACCCCGCCCTTCACTCTGAGTCTCAGAGCGGCTTACAAACTCCTTTCCCTTCCCCTCCCCACAACAGGCACCCTGTGAGGCAGGTGTGAGAGAGCTCTTTCAAGAACTGCTCATGAGAGAACAGCTGTGCCAGAACTATGGCTTGACCAAGGTCATCCAGCAGCTGCAAGTGGAGGAGTGGGGAATCAAACCTGGTTCTCCCAGTTCAGAGTCTGCACACGAAACCACTACACCAAGTAGTTCTGGCAATAGGATTTATTTGGATAGGAATATCGTTCAGTATGGTGGAAATGGACTGGTATCCGTGGAGCTGGCAGGTGAACCTTGTGGGGTGCAAATTCCCCAATTCCAGTTGTCCTCCCTACCCACTCCCCAGATTCCCTCCTCCTTCTCTGACACCCCCCCACACTCCATGATCTAGAGATGACCTGGAATAAGCCCCGGGCCAAGGCTTATCTCCCCACCTCTGAGTCCTCAGAGGTCCCCTTGAATTCCTCCTTCGAGACTGTGGCTTTATGCAGCAGGCTGAGTAATTTCATCTCACTACTTTAATTTGGAAAGGTGTCTGCATTAAGGTTGCTAAAGAGATTATCATTTGTATCAGGTAAACCAGACTTTGTCTTTTCTGTGCTTAGCGGGGGTTTTATGAGTTGGGCTTTATTAAATGTGTTAAAGGTTAATGTGACGCGTCTTTATTCAATTGCGTATAAAGTTCTAAATAAATCCTCTTGCACACGCTTGAGACTCGCACCTGGGGCCATGACTGATCCCCATGAATGAACCCGACCCAATATGCCCCCATTCATGATGTGGGTCAGGTGAGTTCAAGGGCCAGAGTGTTGGGTTACGGACTTGGTGGATGGGGGTTCAGATCCTCAGTAGGCTTGGAAGGTCTGTGGATGCCCTTTAGTTGTAAGGATTAAATGTTTGGGAGGTCTTCTTCAACAATGAAGGACCGAAAACCCCAGAGGGGTTTGATTGGTGTTCCATTGGTGTGGAAATCTTAGGACTTCTGCATTTCTTTATTTCCAAATGAGAACCGGCACGGTCTAATGAGATGCATCTCATCCCCCCCCCCAAGCAGTATTTCATATTTCC